CCTCCCTGGGGTGGCGCATGTGGCCGCCTGGGGACGCGAGAGCCCCTGGGTTGCTCCAACAGCTGGCTCCACTCCCCCCCGCAATCCCTCCCCCCGAGCCGTGAGCGATGCCTGGGGCAGGCTGGGGACAGGATCACACCAAGCGGTGCGGGGGAGGACAAGGGGAAGAGAAAGAACCTTTGGGACAGCTGGTCTGCCGGGGTGCGCGCAGAGCTCTCCCCCACTGCCGACGCCCCCTCGGGGAGCTGGCTCCATTCTCCTCCGCAATCTGCACAATGAGGCTGTCCACCTGCTCCTGCGGCGAGCGATGCCTGGGGCAGGCTGGGGACAGGATCACACCAAGCGGTGCGGGGGAGGACAAGGGGAAGAGAAAGAACCTTTGGGACAGCTGGTCTGCCGGGGTGCGCGCAGAGCTCTCCCCCACTGCCGACGCCCCCTCGGGGAGCTGGCTCCATTCTCCTCCGCAATCTGCACAATGAGGCTGTCCACCTGCTCCTGCGGCGTGGTCAGGGTGGTGGCAGAACTCATGGAGTCTTCCATCACCTGCCGTGGGCAGAGCCGGGACGTGAACCAGAGCCCGCGCAGCCTGGGACAGACCTTGAGCCTGGCCTGCTGCTCCCTTCCCCAGGGTCCTGGGCAGCTAGGCCCCAGGACAGGAGGGTGGGTCCAGAGCCAGAGAGACCCGGAGGCCCCTAGACAGCCCAGCACCTGGCAGCACACAGCTGTAGAAGTGCCACGGACCCACCTGTCCACGACAGGCCCTGCCCTGCCTCAGGCTGCCAGGGAAGCCTTTGGATAGCGGAGATCTGCTCAGAAAAGCCCCTGTCCAAGTGTCTAGGCCGTCAGGAGAGCTCCCTTCTCGTGGCCAGACACTGCCCAGCCTGGGCCAAGACAATGTCGGCTCTCCCCAGCGACCATGGTGGCCTGGCCTGGGGGTGTGCACTCAGGGGCTCTGAGTTTACTTCCCGGCTCTGACAAACTCCCCATATGACCTGGGGCAAGTCACCGAGTTCCTTGCCTGGGCCGTTACTCCTGGGGGTTCTGCCCCACTGCGTGCACGCAGAATTCATGCGCCCTGCAGATTTTTCTCTGCAGAAAACAGACGTTCAGAGAGGCACTGCAGTTACCCCTTACGCCCATCGGGGCTGCTGTGGCAACAGACAAGGGGGCAGCCGGCTTCCCTCACCGTTCCCTGCCCAGGAGGCGGCACAGGATACGGGGGCAGGGGAGGGTACGGACAGCGTGGGACGCACAGGTGTGACACAGTGGGGGGGCTGTCTGCTCTGTGACCCGGGGTCCCCCTGCGCTGGGCTGTGCGATTCACAGTGGGGGGGCTGTCTGCTCTGTGACCCGGGGTCCCCCTGCGCTGGGCTGTGCGATTCACAGTGGGGGGGCTGTCTGCTCTGTGACCCGGGGTCCCCCTGCGCTGGGCTGTGCGATTCACAGTGGGGGGGCTGTCTGCTCTGTGACCCGGGGTCCCCCTGCGCTGGGCTGTGCGATTCCCACTGACTCCCCCACGTGACGTAGTGGGGGGCTGTCTGCTCCCACCTAGCCCCAGCCTGGGCCGATAACAAGGCTCTTCCCAGGGGAGAGACAAAGGGAGGGAGGTGGAGACGCCACCTGGCTGGGGGCAGGGCTGGGAGCTGGGCAGTCTTGTCGGGAAAAACACGGCGAGAAGAGACTAAGCTGAGTACTGGAGGTTGGGGGGGCGGTGGACCCATATCCAAGGGGCGTGAGGCTGCCTGGCCCTGACTCCTGTAACCACATCCCATCTGTGCTGTGATGCATCCTGGAGAAGCAATAACCCCTCTGGCTATGTCTAGACTGGCATGATTTTGCGCAAATGCTTTTAACGGAAAAGTTCTTCCGTTAAAAGCATTTGAGCAAAAGAGCATCTAGATGCGCAAAAGCATCCGTGCCAATCTAGACGCGACTTTGCGCAAGAAAGCCCCAGTCGCCATTTTCGCCATCGGGGCTTTTTTGCGCAAAACAGTTCTTCCCTGTCTACGTCGGCCCTCTTGCGCAAAAACATTTATGCAAGAGGGCTTATCCCTGAGCGGGAGCATCACAGTATTTGCGCAAGAACACTGACAATCTTACATGAGATCATCAGTGCTCTTGCGCAAATTCAAGCAGCCTGTGTAGACAGCTGGCAAGTTTTTGCGCAAAATCTTGCCAGTCTAGACGCACCCTCTCTGTTCGACTGGCCGGCGGAGTCTCATCTTGCTGCTACAGGGCTGCAGGATCGGGGAGCGGGGGTGGGTCCCCAACACACTGTCACAGCAGGGCTGCTGGGGGGGAGGGGTCACTAGTTCAGAAGTGCTTGTGGGGTGACAGCATTGAGCCAGGGGCTGACCGGAGTGGGGGTGCAGGGCACATGGGGATGGGGCAGATGTGCCGCTCTGAACCCAAGAGAACCCTGATCTTCCTTGATGTGCCGCTGGAGACCAGGGCTCTGGAAACAACCGAGCCATTAATCCAAAGGCTGCATGTGGGAGCCCTGGAAGGGGCCCGGCGGTGGGAGGCTTGGTTCTGAGCCCACGAAGGGGTGGGCAACACCATTCCCTCTCCTCCCCCTCCACATGCCAACGAGTCCAATTCCTCCCAGCCCCTGGCAGCCGACCCGCAGGCTGGAGCGTGCTCGGCGCTTACCGAAGTGTGAACATCCAAGTTCTGCACCTGCTGCTCAAATTTATCCATCACCGCCGAGACCTTCTGCAGGTCCATGGAGCTCAGAGCTTTGTCCAAGGCCTTGGTCACCTGGGCCATATTTTTAGTCACCTGCACCAGGAGGTTGGAAAAAACAAAGTCAACCCAAATGCCCCAGCTCAGAGGGGGAGCCAAGCCCAGCCAAGAGAAACTCGGTGCTACTGGCATTTCCACACCGGCACCTCTGACAGGCCCGCCCTGAATAGCAGGAGTCTCGGCTCAGGTGGGTCGCGTACAACTGAATGCACAAGTACTGAAAATGCACGAGCAAGTGATCCACTAGCCTTCTACGGGTACTGTGCACGTGGGAACTGCAGCTGATGTGTCTCACTCACACACACCCCAGTTTCGTGTGCAGCCCTGAAAATCTGTCCTTCCACAGTACAGAGGCACTTACGGGAGAAGAGTAATGCTGCCCAGGAGCAACCCCATGCAAGGGCTTCTTGCATTAACACGCCCTCCCTCCACCCAACGCCCTGTGCTGACGCCTCCCTCCACACGTGCGCACTAACACCGTGAAGACGGGCGCAATGTGCTTCTGGGGCTGCTCCTGCTGCATGTCCTCTCTAGGCGGGGCCACACAGCCCCAGGTCATGTGGCTCACGGGGAAGGCAGATTTCAGACAGAATCCGAAGGGCTGACCAGCAGCCTCAGCTCCAGCAAATTCACAAGGCCACTAGCTTGTTCAGTGCCTTGCAGGCGAGAACTCCAGCTCCCAATCCCTGACACAGGCATGGGGCTGAGTCCAGGCACACCCCTTCCATGTCTGCAGACTTGGGCGCGCGCGTATGGATGAA